ATGTGAAACTGTTATGTGAGTGCAATATACCGTATTTCTCATCAGGATCAACTGTACGAGGTATACTTGCAATGGGTTGATAGTTAGGCATAATTGGTCCGAGCTCTGGATGAACTGGCTGGATCACAGTTCTACTACCAAAAGCCATTTGGTACGGAAACTGATCAAGCTCAGTTCTCCATTTTTCGTCAATGAATTTAATAGGTGCAGCAGAAATGTCGTATTCACCTAGGTACTGTAATGCTTCTTCAAATGCTTCAATTTGATCGCCAAATAAAGTACCACGCATCCTATTACCCTATAAAGCAGAAAATGATAGTGAAACAAGGTGAGCTTTATAACTATATTATAAGGTCCCTTAAACTTATTAATTATATATAATTTGCTATTAGATTTGTAGAATAAGGCATCTTTTGTTTGAGATTTAATTAAAGTGCCACAAAATATGTGCTTTATTTAACATTATTTTTGCTAAAATAAAGTGATTTTAACATTGATGTAATTTATATTATAAAAGAATAAAAAGGTTACTCAAAAGATTTAACTATAATAAGCTATATACTTTATATTTCACTTGAATCATGAACATTTAAACATAATTAGGATTGCATTATATTCTAGCTTCATGTGTACTATATTTAACTGAACCTTGAGCTGATTAAGGTTATAACATAAGTAAAAGCATGATTATAGCATAAGCATGATTATTACAAGAGTAGTTAATGTAATTTCTGTACAGCCTACCATAACTCTTTAAGCCTACCTAAATGCTTGATATGATTTAGATTACAGTTAGGAATATTCTCTCAGTTGCATCATAATTGTAATAAAGTTAGTGTGATATTTACATGTATAAAGTAATAAATGCATACCTTTTCATCCTTTAGAAGTAAAGTTTGGAATCTAACTGTTTTTTTGGAGGATAGTGTGTCCCTTCCTTTTTCAGCAACAACTACTCTTACTATATAAGTCTTGCATGCTACATTTAACTGATCCAAGTACACATACTCTGGCTTCTGTCTAGCTGTTTTGTATTTTTGATCCGTGTATACAAATGCTTTCATGTTATTTTGTATAGCAGTAGTTATACATGATAATGTAAAATGTTATAACATTTAATATTAAATATTAGTTAATCAAGTACACAATAAGGAATTTATATAGGAAAAACATTAACAATAATTGAGCTAAAGGATAATGGAAGCAATCTATAAAAGAAGGGACCATACCTGCCATGGCTGAGTAAGTCACTGCTACTTTGGTTGATTCTTCTGTGAAAAAAAACGAAATGCCAAAGATGAAACACTTTTTATATGAGTTAGTACAAATTTAAAAAATAGGAAATAGCTAGAATACAGTAATTGGGGAAGGTTCTGGTAATAAGTTCAGAATAACCAATGTAAGTTTTTTCTTCTTTACTGTTAACACTGTTCATTCCATACTTTAGGTAAAGATTTTCAGCTGCTCACTGTACTTTTATAATACTTTATAAAGCCTGGAAAAGTTTATTGTTTTTATAAGTAATAGAATAATAATATCTTGCTTTTATATATGGATAACCATATCCCAGAAAACAATTTTTCTTTTTTTAAGGGAGTGGCTTTACAACAAGTCATAATCATAGCAGACCTATATATATATATAGAAATATAGAAATGTGAAATATTGTACAGCTTTTAATATTAACTTTTATTTTATGATAGAAAGTTAATTTAAATAGTTCACTTTAGTAGGCTGTAATTTAAGCGTATATGGTTTTTTATCTCTTTGTTGTCACATGAATACTGATACTTTTCATCAACCTATATAATATAACAATTCATATATTCACTAAACATGATCGAACAAATCATAAAAATACTTAAAACCAATGCATAATCAACTTTTATCTACATGAGATAAGAAATTATGATACCTCTCCTTTAATGTTTGGTTTAACAGGGCTTGTCAACAGAACAGCCTCAGGACTAAACATATCATGCTTTGTTGCCTAAATTTCTTCTAATTAATTTGGTTTGCCGTGAAACCTGTCCAAAGAAATCAGTTTCTTTATACCACCGTTTATTGAGCTTGAATGTGACCTTAGTTTCACCCAAGCTGAAGCCCGGTCAATCTTTCATATGCTCATAGATTGCATAGGTATATGACCTGGATGAGCCACGAAGCATTATAGACCTAAAAGTTTAACAATTATTGGATTTAATTACATTATTAACATGACAACTATTTCAAGAGAGAGGGGTACTAATATATAAAGGAGGAAGTGTGCTCTATAAAAAGTAGAAGTTTATATAATATGGTGAAGATTAAAGCAACTACCTTTTATCAATATTCAATGGGAATAACTTGCCCTTGAGTGAAGGATCCCACTGTCTACAAAAGAAAACTTCCACCTGATCATCATGTAACATAATCACCTGAAAAGTTGTTGCTTTAATCTTGCATACAGTTAGCAAATAGCCTTAGTCAAATCTGTAAAACTAAGCCTAACATTTACAAGTTTATCCATTTAATTTGGGTAAACTAAGAAACAAAAAGGCAAGAAGAACAAACATGTCAAATGTCCCTGGTGTATTAGCATCATTCTAAACAAGTTCCCAATACATGCATACATTTCACAGTTAAATATATCATTAAACAAGCAGAAAAAATTAAAAATTCCACATGTGATGATCAACTTTTCTTTCATTATCTTGAATTTTGTTTCTAGATTGTATATAGAGACTGACTGAAGTATTGATTTCATTAAGAAAAATGACTGTACAAATCTGATTATATAGAATGTTTACCTTCTATGGTCCTCAAGATTTCGAGATTCAAGCAAATTGTCAATGCCATTATAAGCTAGTCCAGTAACAATTTCTCGTGGTTTAGATATTGTCACTCGAGCAATGCCATTGTCTAATACTACCTGCAAGCAAATACTCCAGTTTAAAATCCATGCAGAAATATAAACTCTTAGGGAACTAAGGTTGAATATAAAATACTCCATGTCAATATGTCATTGAATTCATTGAATAAATACAAATATACGAATCCATAGATTTACGAACTTGTAGACCACATGATGCTATCAGCGTCACATTTCTTAAGGGCTTCAATGGTTCCAGAGCTCAGAAATCTGAAAAAATATATACTCTCTTCTTTTGTTCCGCTCTTCAAACTATTCCAGCAATCTACAAGCAAACATACCAGTACTATGAATAAGCACACCATTGATCACTCTACCCAAGCATTACAGCACAAGTTCAGTAAGTCTAAAATAAATTCAATAGATTTAAACTTTTAGATTCTACCTAAGCTATCTGTTGAATTTGAATTCATAATTGTCCTTTATCCGCTTGATGCAATGAGCTGCAATGGTTGCCTTAGTATTACACTGAAAGAGTGAGACCAGAGTTCCAACTAATCAAAACCAGATATTTTAGTTGAAAGCCATATGACCATTAATTGTATAAAAATAGAAATAAAGCACCAGCTAACAATTAAAATAGCATTATGAATCAACTTATTCAGGAATAAAAAACCGAAAAATAAATAAAAAGAAAAAAAGAATAATCATGAATAAAAATGATGTATTAAGGGAATAAGAGCAGCGACCTTTGAAAAATCATTAAAACCACTGACCTGCTTATGTCATTTGCAGATTGACGTTGATCCATGAAGCCTAACAATAAGGGTATCTTCTTGCACGACAAAATAGAGCAAAAGAAATCAAGGGTTTGAAATCACATTAGATCTTTAACTAAATAAATAAATCAGAAACAACCATTAATTATTCTAATTGCTCTTACAACCAATAATGTTAAATAGTGAAGCAAACATAGTTTAATTTCAACCATCAATCATTCTAATTGCTCTAAACAATATCAGTTATAATCAAAGGAGAATTATAATTAAAAGTATTGTGTCCACTATAAGTGTATGCTACATGAAAATATGTAAGGCGAAAGCTTGACAGAAAACCAATTTATGCATGGTTTTCCTGATGATCAAGAAACAATTAACAAGATGCTTATACACTTCTTTTCTAAACCTAAGGGCTAATGCTTTAGTTATCACAAAACCATGCCAGCAAAATTGCTCCGGAGGAATCTTCTGAACCGTTGAAGGACCTGAAATTAAAGTATATGGCATAATATTTAGTTCATCTGAAGATCTGTAATTGAACATCAAGCAATAAATCCTGAGTTAGGTTTTTTCTTCCTATAGACATGTAATAAAGTCCAGACAGATTTTCTGTTCACTCCTTCCTTGTGATGTCAAAGCCAGAAAACCCAAATAGCAATTTACTCAAAACTAAACACTTATTACTCTCCAAACAACAACTCATTAATACAAAACACCTATTTTAAAACAAGTTATGATCTAGAGTAATAAAGTAAGTGTCTACATTTACTAAAAGTAATCTTTGCTCATACGCTATAGAATAAAGCACATACAAGAATTCATTGAAAAAAATCACATGTATTAAAGTTCAGAATGCATAATTGGAATCAATTAGCATATTAATTTATTACAGTAGTCATAAAGCCCTGTTAAAACAATCACACACACACACATAATATACAGTAGAAATCTAAAACAAGAAAGATATGACCCACAATCACTAACCAACCATTATTGTCATTAAATATCACCCATAGTTAATGCCATATATGAATTAGTATATTCACATTAAAATGGATTGCAGCAAAATAGAGTATATTAGTATCAAGCAAATAGGTGAAAGAAAAGGCATACTTGGAATTCAACATTGGACCACTACTAAAGTGATTGCACATGACTTAGCTTATTTTAGGAATGATCTAACAGCACCTAGATTACTCCTGCAAAATAAGAGTAAAACACGAAAATTAGGACTGCCATTATATATTTCGAAAAATCAACTTAGTAAGCTTAGACAATGTATAATCACCTAAATTACTCATGCTAGCTTTAGGACAGCTTAAGATACGACATTTTTAACAGAGTTTTCTGAATGCTGTGAAGTAGGAGCCACTGATACAACTTTCACTTTATCTGCAGACCGTGCACGTGAGAGAGCCACATATAACTGACCATGTGAAAAACACGAACGAGGGAGATATATTAACACTTGATCTAAAGTTTGCCCCTGTGACTTGTTTATAGTCATTGCAAAGCTGAGCTTGATAGGAAACTGGTTCCTCTGAAATTGGAAAGGATATTTCTGAGAACTTGATGGTCTGAGTTTAATTTTGGGTATAAATACATGTTCCCCTTGATACTGTCCAATAGAAATCACGCACTCAATTAAATTAGGGAAAAACCTTTTACATATAAGGCGCGTTCCATTGCATAAACCAGAAGATGGCAGAAGGTTTCTAAGCAATATTACTGGGCAGTTTTCTTTGAGCACAAGATTGTGAGGGCTCATTCCACCTGGACATAGTTTATTCAGGACTTCTGTAGGATATACGCTGCCACTATCATCTAGGACACTGTCATAGCTTGTATAAGATATGGCTTGTCCTGGGAATCTCTCAATCATGAACGAATTTATAGTATCTACATCGTCATTTATAGGTGTTAGAACAGCCCTTCTTGAAAAGATTTGAGGGTCCAGAGCACCTGAACCAAGTTATGGAAAAGAAGATTCGAGTAACTCATCTATTGGATCAGCATCAGGCTGGAAAGTCTGCACTATCTGAGGTGGCAACTCAAAAAAATCACTTTCCATGGGCTGCAGTTCACCGTTTCCCAGTGCAAGTAAAAACTGAGAAAATGAAGGATCTTCCCTAGCTCTTAGATTTTCAGTTAACCTGAATCTCCGCAAATGCTGCCATATATAAGAACTCACTATACTTGCTTCCACTGCTTCTCTAATAGTCTTGTTAGGAACAACAGGCAACACTTGTCGAAAGTCTCCACCGAAGATAATTACCTTCCCACCAAATATCACATCACTATCACATATGTCTTGTAATAAAAGGTCTAGAGATTCTAGATTTTGCTTGTTTGCCATAGATGCTTCATCCCATATTATAAGAGCTGTTTCTTTTATTAACGCTGCCAGGCTACTTTGCTTAGAAACACTGCAAGCTAATGAAGCATCATTGTCCAATGGAATTTTGAATCTTGAGTGTGCTGTTCTACCTGATGGAATATTTGCTGCAGCTATTCCAGACGTAGCAGTAGGTAAAACAATCTTATTCATAAGGCGGATCTCAGCATATAATGCATTATATAAGAACGTTTTACCAGTTCCACCAGGACCATCTACGAAAAATGCCCCTGGTTTTCCTTCTACGATATGCTGCATAATACAAGTAAAAATTTCCTTTTGTGCCGTATTAAGCAAGCCACGACTTTCTATACAATTTTGAGGAATCGGAGCATCTAAAGCATCTTGAATGTCTTTTATTCTATCAATCTGGTTATCAGTGTCTTCCATTAAAACAGCCAGACCACAAGCAGATAATGACTTGCCCATGGCCTCTAAATGCTGCTCTACTGATCTGACAGTTAATCTTTTAACTTTGTTTTCAACACCAGGGTATTGGCGTGCAAAATCTTCTGATAATGCAGAATAATATTTAAACCATAATTCTTCAGGGTTACTCGGCTGACAAAATATAAGAACAGTTGCAAATAGTCGGCGTAAAGCCCGAGGGAGCTGAATTTCAGTTGCTTCTGCTAAACAAATGCTTGCAGCATCGTCCTCTTTCAAAATGCCAGCTCTTAGACATGCTTCTTTAAAAGTTGCACACACATAACCTTCAACTGTGCGCAAGTCTGTGAATGATTTTGGACTTTTGACATTCAATAATAGAAGCCGAAGGTAAAAGCGTTCACCCTCCGAAGGAGCGACAAAAGCTAATCGCCCTATCATCAATTTTTTATTTTTCCGTTTGGACCATGATTTTGCTGAAGCATCCCACTTATAGTGTTCAGGAAATTCTACATATGAGTAACCAAGACCATTATCAGTAGCTGCATTCATACGGAAGAACTCAGTTAATTGAGTCCTACCATAAACACGCTTGCAATACCAACATCCAGACGTTCATAAGGGCGTACACAAACTGTGTTCATGTCTGGAATATGAACTGACAAAGGTAAGACTGGTGGATGCATCTCAAATAAATCAAATCCAAAAATTCTCCAAGCTGCCTCACATGGCGACACCCACCTCCCCGACTGAAACTGAGCAATTTCATCGTTACAATTTTTATCTTCAGCCAGAATATTGAAGGCCACTCGATCGTGTCCCTTGTAAACATACTTATATAAATATTTCACTGCTTTAATAGTTGAACAAACTTCTACGTTCAAATGACAATCAAAGAGTGATGTGAGATAGGGGTTATAAGGGACAACCCATCGGTTATCTAACTGAGCATTTCTGACTTTCAATTGTTCTCCAGTATCAGTTCTCTTATAGCATGGATAGCCATCTTTATTTGTTGTTGTTTGTACGGTGAATTGTTTTGGATACCCATTTTTACAAGAAATAACATTATCCTTCTTTCTCATACAAGGACACTCTGGATTTAAGCGGCCACATGGTCCATGCATCATATGCCTTAACACAAATTTTACGCAGCTCAGGTTGAGTAACGGGAGGTATTTCTGCACAGACATATTTATCATAATCAGCAGGACACTTCATCTTATGCTGTTGCTCTAGAATCAATAGGAAATGAGCATGTGGCAATCCTCTTTTATCTCTGGCCAATTTGCATTGCAGGTCATAGTGACAAAGAGATCAGGTTTCCCGTATTTCTGCACAAGAGCCATTGCATTCAGATATCTCCTTTTCATATCACGAGGGCCTCCTATAAATGATGGTGGCAAAATGAACTTATGACCAACATTAGCTGCACTTGTCTGGCCACTATCTACAGTGTCTAGAATCCCTTTATAAAGATCCGCTCTTATTGTATCCTGATTTTGCCGAAAAAAAATCTAACCTTGTGTTTTCAACTTTGATATACATGTCTGTGATATACTGCAAAAATGCACGGCCTGCTCTTAACAGCATGTTTCCTAGTCTAATTTGAAGCTTATAACAATAGTACTCCCTTGCAGAGATATTCTTATCAGCTTTGGTATGTTTTCCAGAAGCTCCTACAAACATTAAAGTCCAGAGAAAATTCAAATTAAGCATACGATAAGGAAACACAAGTATAAAAACAGCTTTAAAAATAATACCATTATTCTTTTAAGAACTTACGAGCAGCTTCTGCATCTAGAAAATTTGCCGGAGTGTGCACTGCGCAGGACTGTATCGGATCAGGTTCAGTTGCCACTTGTCTGCCTCCACCATAAGAAGTTTTCTTTAAACCCTGATGCCAACCACATTCACCTCTTGGGAATAGCAAGGGATACTGCAAAGGATCATAGCACCCATAAAAATGAGCAATCCGATGAGACTTTGAAGACTTTGCTGTTACAAGAACATGTGGCCATGAACTCTGACTTGACGAAACACTATCAGGCCAGATAACAGCAACTTCATCTGAAGTGGGAGCATTATATACTCTTTGATCTGGTACAGTGTTTGAATTTATTATAATGTTAGTACGCTCATCAACATTTACTTCTTTCAAAGAGCGGAAAAATCTTGCATATGGATTATCTTTAGTTACTTGCATTAATTTGTCAATAACATCTTGTCTTAATTCAGGAAAGCAGTTTGTTCTGTGTTTCAATTCATTTTGCCCATCATAGAAATAAAGTTGCAGATACTTTGGACCATTCTCATCTGGTAATAAGTCTGGTACAGAATGATATATTTGGCCATGCAATTTAAAGACATATATACCTTTGTATGTTTCTCTATTAGTTTTACCTCCAATTGAACTAAAAGCAAATAAGTTTATTGTATAACCGTGCATATTTTTCTAAAATGGAGAGCATCTTCATCTCTTGAAGTAAAAAGCCTCATTAATTCAGGGGGATATTCATTCTCAGCTATTTTAATATCACCATTACCACAGCAAAAATGTAGAGTTTCAAACTCAAACTTCTTAGCTCCACACTTATCACAGTAAGTAGGTGGAGATAATTCTAGGGATGCCTAGGTAATGGTTTTCCTATAGTTGTCGCAAGGGTTTCTGTAATAACATTAAAGGGTATTTGAGATAATTTGATTGTGCAAACTATGTATGTGTGCAAAATAGATAAACTGAAATTACTACTAAACCTTACTTTTAGCTGCATCCCTTAGCTGTTTTGAACTTTGGCCATTTGTTGGTGTAGATCTGTGAGTTGAAGGCCTCTCTGTAGCATGACCAAAAGAAATTAAACCAGATCTTATAAAAAAAGACTATATATATATATTCACTTTTGTAACTCAATGTAAGGCAAATGACCCACTTTCAAGTACAATATATTTCGAAGGTCTTGATTTAGGCTTTTTCGATCTTGGTTGTTCTGCTTGATTGTACAAAGAATAAAGAACCTATGAATTTAGTTCACCAAAATAATAATTTTATTATTTTAAATCATCTATTTTACCTAGTAAAATTATGAGTTGATACCAAAGCACTCATTCGCTTTGATTTTCGACCTTGAAATGATGGTCTCTTAAAATTAATAGGTGCATCAGCTATCATATAAACAATTAAAACAATAACTCAGCAACTCGAACATAAAATAAATATCATAAATGAACATAGCAATGCGCATATAAATAGAAAGACTTATCATAAGAATCATGCAAAATTTTCAGATATACCCATATTACTTTGCTGCAGACCAAGTCATGTCAACCATTTGCATGCACATCTCAACAATTTGCACAAGTTATTAACGATCTCAGTTTATGTCATTAACTGTATAAAGAACATATATAGAAATACTCAGCAGGTGTAGTTAACAAGATGTTTTTTTAATAAAAAACAAAGGTGCAATTTAAAAGGCTCTGCAATTTAAATCCTCACAAATTTGATCAATCTAATACACTAACTTGCATATCTCCTTCAACTCAAGAAAATGTTTACCTGTTCCAATATTTGTTCTGCATAAACTTCTGTGATCTAAGCCTATAACAATAATTCCTGAATTTTACACTGATCTCGATTTGAAATTGCAATATCCTCCTGTTTTACTGCCACAAAACAAAATAAATGAATTCTACTAATCTACTACATTATTTTGTACCTTAATAAGAGCATGTGCATATCATTAACAATACTTGCTTTGTATTATTTTATAAAGCCATTGAAGCTTGTCATTATCTCATCTTGTTACTTCCTTTAACTCTAATCCTACTTTAAAGATTTCCTTTTCTCCTTATTCCCTCACATGCTTATATACATACATAAACTAAGTTATACAATCGAAATTTGAATATCAGTATACATAAATAGTTACCATTTACTGCAAACAGAAAAGCTAATGCATAATTAAAACCCGTATTTACATTTTCCATGTAGCTTCAAAAAGATAAAATACTGAACATATTTAACACCAAACATGAAAGAGCATTGTAAAATCAAGAAGACATACAATTAACAATAAAATTAATGAAAGAGCAATATTAAATTAAGAAGTCATGAGAACTACAATAAAAAGTTAATCCATTCATTACTCAAGATACACATTACATTATATTTCAATTACAGCCTTCAAGTCTGTTTTCTAATGAAAAATTTCAGCCATTACTACTCATAGACCTAGGCTCTAAGACAAAAGGAAAGATAATAAGCATATATCAATGCTAAATCTAAACACCTATATCCAGGCATACAACTTTCTACCCAAAATACTAATGTAAGTCTCCATATAGGCTAAACAAACTTTGCCCGCTTCCATACAATCTCTAATTCAGGTATGCCAGAAACCAAAGGTTCAACAACTCTAACAGTAGAAGAAGATGCTGCATCTAATGCTGTAACCGAACGTCTTTTAACTGGAGCAGCTGGAGGCAAACCAATCTCAGGGATCCGAAACCTCTCAGAAGTAGGAGTCAAGCATTCATCAGTAGCAAAGTTTTCCTCTCTGGCAGTCAAATGCTCCTTTAATTGGTAAAACCTTCTCTTTAGAGCACTGCAAGCAACATGCTTCTCCAAAATTGCACCATAATTAGCATCAATGATCTCTAGATTATACTTAGTCACCAAGTAATGAATAGTTCTTTTGGCAGCTTTTTGCCTCGCATCAGCTAACTCAGGACAAGCATCACTATATATGCATTCCATTTCACCTCCATTATGTGGGCAAGACACTGTTAGCCAGGACACAAAGCCCAAATTTTCAACCCAAATAGTCTCTAATGGACTCACCTCTGCTCCAGTCCTTGTAACAACAGCTCCTAAAAATCCTACAAAGTCAATCGTCACATGAACAACATCACCAGATGGTTTTTTGCCCAAAACCTTCTGTGCACCAGGCATCACTATCCCTTTTTCACTACATAACTCAACCACCTTATGCTTAAAAAGCTTACTGCATAGCTGATACATCCTTGCTCTATCGGATGTAAAATCATTCACCCGCACCCCAAACTGGTTCATCAATTTCTGCACAGCTTTTTGAGCTGCTCTCTCTTGGGACTCCTCAACTGTGTTAGCTTCCCCACCGAAAAATACAAATTCAGACTTCCCACATTCAGTCCTAATACGAACACAAGCATTATTCCTATCCCTATCTATGAAACCATAAACCGGTTTAGGAAAATTTAAACAATCAATCAATTGACCTAAAAGAGGTCGAAATGGAATGGCAATTTTGCTTGACTGAATAGCCATAACCTGTAACCGGGAAAAAAAAACATTTAACATATACATCCTCTAAACTTAAACTACAATCAAAGTGCAACAACTAAGGTAACATATGTAAGAAAACCAAGCCACCTTATAATATTCCAAGTTAAATCAATAATAATAAACTTACCACCAGTAGCTGCAATTAATTTTACCAGCACAACCAGCTCCAAGTGCATACACCTACAATTATTCTTTTTTTTCCCTTTTTTTTATCCAAAAAAAAAGAAAGAAGAAAAACAAAAAAACACAAGGGCAAAAAAAATTAAGCTATGTAACCAAATTGAATGCTTCAAAAATAATACAAATGCATAAACAACTAATTTCTAGTAATTGTTCTATTTTACTTTCCTATAAAAAATATAACTAAATTCAAATAATTGTACATCAATGTATGTCCAGGAAATTATGGTGCATAAAAGTTCAAGATTCATTAAGTCAATATCCAATGTTGTCTGTACAAATGAGATCCATAAGGAATTAAACCCATGATATTATATTTTTATCAAAATCTAATTAACCAATTACCCAGCAAAGTTTCACATACAAACCTTTTCTTTCAGACAGAAGATAAAGAAGAAGCAAGTCAGAAAATTGAAACAAACCAAACATGCAGAACACATATATAATAAAGAATAAAGCAAAGGACATATCCCATATATTTTATTAGCCAAAAAAACCAGACCATATAAATTGTTCTAGTACATCATAAAAAAAATATCTTCTCCACAAAAATTATTAAATAATACACTGCAACCAAAAAAGACATCTGAAATATACTAGTTTATTTTTATCATTATTATAGCTTAAAAAAAAAGGGTATTTTTATCTCTTCAGAAAAAATGGAACTTAGTACACACTAAAACCCCTCTA